GGAAACTCTGCTGCTTGCCCTGCTGAATCTACCACTGCTGTTGCCGGGTTGCTTTCATCTGGTGAGGGTGTGCCTGGCTGCTGCAGTGCTGGTGTTGGTGCCAATGCCGGTGGGCCGCTGCCATTGGCTGGCTCATGAGGCTCATCATCAGGCTCAGACTTTACTGAGACTGGCTCACGAGGCTCAGACTTTACTGAGACTGTTTGCTCTGCTGAAGCTACCTCTGGAGAACTGCCAGTTGACATGGCTTTGCCTTCTTCATCCGTGCCCAAGACATTGTTCTCTAATGCTAGAAGCTTTGGTGACTGCTGGTTGCGGTTGGCACTTCTTTCCAGCAACCTCTCTTCCTCAGCCTTGGCCTTGTTCTTGAAGTCTTGGTCAATGTCAGAGAGCAGTTGATAGTAGGCATTGGACAAAGGAGTCCTCAGCAATGCAACGGCAACTAGCGAATGCGCAGATCAGCATTCCAGGGAAATAAAAACTAGAAGACATACACTGTCAGTGAATTTCATTGAATCTAGAATCTACGTCAGCATTGGTGACAACGGCCCCTTATAAATAGTTGAGATGAGAGTCTTTTCCCCCAGCAATTGCACATTGGAGATGCGCTTGAAGGTGCTGTCATCAACGCGACAAGACAAAGTCCTCGCAGAGATGACATTGAGTTGATGCACTTCTCCACAATCAAAACTCCTGCAGGTACATACACGACATCGCCTGGCGCCACATACATGATTTGAAGCGAGTCTAGTGATAGGGGAAGCTCATCAATGTACTCTGCAGTCAACGATTCAAGCCACAGTGCAGCTTTCTGCAAGCATTCGTGCCGCTCCTGGTGAGATGAAAATGTGATATCCAATAGCCCGAGCTGGTCATCGTCAACAGGCACCCTAGCAAAGCTCATTGTTCAGCACTATCTGACAAACAGAAAAGAACCATGAATTCTGCTCAACCTGTTCATTCAATCCTTTGTCGGCTAGAATAAAACTGAGAACCCAGCTCATCTCCTACCTCTTGTTGCTCAATCAAATGAAGGATCTCCCAAACATCCATCATAGCAAGGATTTTGCCACCTTCGATCTGGTAGTAGAAGCATGGCATTCCACCTGTTTGAAAGACAACGTGAGTTTGCTTCCCAGGTCATGCTTGTATGAAAACATGTGTCTAACATCCACAATGAGTTGAACTGAACTCTGATTTAACAGAAGCACCTGGCCTGGCATGAATGCAGTGGTATACTCTCCCTGCAGACATCCCTGCAGTGTCATGCCAGAGACTTTGAGCCGGTGGATTTTCAGCTGCTCCTCTGGCATGTCCCCTGCCACGAGTTCAGGCGTCGAGTTGAAATACCTTGGCAATGTTTGAATCCAAACCACTTGCCACTGCACCAAATCAACAAATTCACCAAAAAAACAACTTGACTTGTGTGTATTTTCCCAATCAAACCAAAGGCACGCGGTCAACAGTTCATCTCTCTGAAGCAAGCTGACTTCAGAACCACAAAAGCGGGAAGATTTGCTAGCTGCATCCTCCATGGTCGCCAGCAACTTCCAGTCCAAACCCAGCAAGTCGCCAGGTGCTTCGATGCTCTTGGAAACCCTAGGCTTGTGCAAGCGTTCAGCCTCCTCCTTGAAGTCAGCCATGGTCGCTGTCAAAGATTTTGCCCATGAGTTCCGCACATCCTTGTCAACATTGGGCCCTGCGGTCATGATCTTCTTGAAAGGTCCTTTCTTCAATCTCAAAAGATGTGCCATGTGGGGCCATTTCAAGACGTTGTGGGTGAAATCAGAGATTTCCTCTGTCACTTTCGGGTTCCAGCATGCATCATTGATCTTCAAGACTGCAGGGTCTGCATCCTGTAGTTGGGTTGCTGCTGGATTTCTGGTCTTCTTTCTCCTTTTCGGATCTTGCCGTTCTGCTGGTTCCTCATCTTCTTGCTCGTTGTGAGTGGCACCCTCTTCAGCTTTCCTCTTCGCAGCTGCTTCTTTCTCTAGCCTCTCTCTTTCTTTCTTCTCTTCCTTGGCTTTAGCTTTTGCTTCAGCCTTTCTAGCTTTCGTTTCAGCCTTCTCTAAGGCCTTCTTCTCTGCCTTGATAACTTTGTCCTCTGCTATCCAATTTGCAACATATTGATCAGATTCAATGATCAAAGCTGTTGCGCATTCTCGAGCAATCCTCAAAGATTCCACATGAGCATCATGAGCTGCCACTACACCTTCCACACTGGACCGCAGAGGCAGAAGGACTCTGCGGATGTATGTCAATCGGCCAAGTGAATGACAACTCTCCTCAAGGAATCCCTGCTCCTTTAGGAACTCATCTTTCTGGATCAAGCTGTAGATCTTGCGACTTTCATCATCCGCATCCTTCTCACAAGCCACCTCTGGTTCAAGAGCAAGAGCATCAACCAACTCTGATCTCAGCAGAATGCTTTGTAAGGCAGGGTCATCCCTAACACGCGGCAGGCTTGGATCCTCCAATCGACACTTCTGCGCAAAGGTGATGACCTTCTCATATGCCTTCTTAGCCTGAAAAAAGGTTGAAGGATAGCAAAATAGCTAAGGTGTTTGCAGAGGATGACTCAAAAACCATGATTATTGCAAGCAAATTTTAATTCTAAAGTCCAATCAATCAAACAAACATTTTAGAGCAGTCATGGCGTTTTGCAGGCCTTGCGAAGTGTAGCCCTGGTATCAGAGTAGGAAGATATTGACTTGGTTCTGAGTGTAGTAGCCACGATCGCTGGAGATTTGTTCAGCAAAGCAGCAGGGACAGTAGAACTTCTCTTGTCAACCGCTGCAGCTGGAGCAGCCTTTCCATGCCCTTGCTGAGGAGTCACAGCGCCCCCCAACACAGCTGCAGCTCCGCTGGCCCTCAAAACCCGGTTCTCATCCTCATCCAGGGACACGGACAGGCCCATGTCTTTGGCGATAGATGATGCGGTAGAGTGAGAAGTGCACAATTGAGAGGCTGAAGGAGTCTTGCTCTCCTGCACATTCATAATCCCGACTGCCTTCTCCTGAGCTTGCAAACAGGTCAAAAAACCACCAATTTTTTGACTCAAAAGTTCAAATCTAAATTTGAAAGTTTGACACTGAATGATTGGTCACGTTTGTACTTTGTACAATGATGATGTATTGTGCTCTGAGGCTTTGTCCGAAAACTCTCCTTGGCGTGAATACTCCTTTGTTCTCACCCAGACTCTCCAAACCTTAGTTGCCACGGAATCATGTTATGATTATACAGCAATACTGTATATGAGGACATCAACCAACAAGTACAATGAAGTGACATGTGAGAATCTTAGGACGCAACCAATCCAACATCATTGCCTTGTCGATCGGTAGCATGCGCTTGGTCCTTCCTGACATGCTTGTCCTGAAGGTCCTTGTGCCACTTTCTCGGAGCTGCTTCCCGAGACAATCCTGAATGGGTATGCAGGTATACCAAATGGTTGAAGTGTTTTGAATTTGTGCGTTTCTTGTTGTCATATGAAATTGAACAGCTAAGCTTCTGATGAAGGAAGGGACTTCTTCAGTCCACCACTTCACAAAGTCTTCTTGACACTTGGGCTCAGC